CTCAGATCCGCCGACTCGGACAAAGTCGGTCACATTAAGGACTTTTTCGTAAATTCAACAATAGAGACACGCAAGAAAGAAAAACCCTAATCTTCTCGAAATTATCATAGAAGGGTATTTATGTAATTTACCAGGCTCGGCCCGAGTCTCCGACCCTTTCTAATCATAGGCTAAAAATTTGCTTATTGGGTTGAACATCTTCAAACTAAAAGCCCAAATCTATCCGAAAAAATAATAATTCAAAGCCCGTTTTTTTTATAAGTCGCGAATTTCGTACAGACGCGTTTGTATCCGAACGTTCGCGTCTCTCTCTAGCTTTCGTACGTTTTTTTGTTTCCTATAAATTCAACACACTTGACCAGTAAAAACTTAGAGTTTCTTGATCGGTTCTTCATACATACACATAACAAATCCGCGATCAAAAACAAGAGACTCTCTTCTTTAAAACCACCAAGAATGCAAGAAACCAACAAGAATTCGTCGCCACTAATAAATGCTTCATCAGTCAATGAACTAGTTACTAAGAATCCGATGTTGAGTCCTCCAGGATTGTTCGCTCCGTATCAACAACAAAAACATTACATCAACAATATGTTTCAGGTTTTTTTTTTCATTTTTTTTAATTTGAAATATATTACATATTACACACTAAATATTTTTTCAAATTTTTACTAATGCGTAGAGCCGAATGACAATAGAGTTGTGTACTCAACTAAACCTTCTCCAAGAGAGATCTGCTTTGTGTATTAAAGCGAGAGATACCTTCATCGAAGAAGCGATAGAGAAGAACCGAGAAACGGAGATGCGTTTGAAAAAAGCTTTAGCAGAAGTAGAGTTTTGGAAGAAGTCGTCTCATGAGAAAACCGTCTTGTGTAATGATATCGCCTCGAGACTCTTGACTTTGAAGAAGAGAGAAATGCGGAGGAAAAAGGTTTCGGAGAGGGATCTTGCAGAGGAGGCTGAGTCGTCTAGTGGGGATAATGGAGATGATGATGATCTTGATACGGCAAGTTCCCTTATGTGTAAATGACGCCGTTTGTGAAAGTGGCGGGAAATTGCGTGTTTTTGTGATGGTTTAGGCACGTGTATGTTTGTTTGTCTTTGCGCACGTGTGGTTTCATTGTGTTGTTCCCACTTTCGAGATTTTTTGTTGGTATCCAAAATTAATAAAGAGGGGAAATCTTTTGAAGATGAGTTAATCATGCAAATATATTTTATTGTGTTAAAATTTGCATTATGTTATATGGTCTAATTCGATTTCAGAACTGAAATATGACGAATTATGTCAACTACTATGTTTAAATTTGTGAAAGAAGCTGGTGAATCAAAATCTGAAAGAAAAGGAAAACCAAGTATCAGTTTCCGAGTCTGTGAACATGACCTTCTTGACGACATATGTACATATCTTGGAATTATTACTTGCAACAATATACGAAATTAAAGTAACATTAATCAAATGATTATGTTTGTGAAATCTTTACTGTAAATCCATTGACCGTTAATAAGATATAACATCTCTAGGGTTGATCTATTTTTACTCGTTTTCTAGCTTGATGGTTAGAAAGCAAGGATCAAAAAAGTGATGAGTGATTAATATTGTTGTATATTGGTTATAAGTTATAGTTATAACTTAGAATAAATCTGAAGATATGGTTAGTTGCTGCAATATTGCTAACAACATCATAGGGAAACAAGTCTCGTGGAATTTGAATAAGCAGACGACCCAGTACAATATGGGCCTTGTAACTTGTTTCTGTATGAACCAGAAGAACAAATTAATTTTGGGCCTGATAATTACATATGGATAAATCTGGTTATTGTGAACGTATTGATTAGAATATGTTCGTTCACCATTATAATTGGTTCGTTGTAAAGTAAACTTCATGCGCACTAGATAAAAAAGATATTGATAACGGATATGCGCGTAGTTGTACGGATATAGGTGACGTCTTAATTACAGAACACAGCCAAAAGTTCGGTATTTGTCTAATGGAAAAAGAAAGAGACAGAAGTAAATGCACAACTGTTAATTGTTGTATCACTCGTACGTGGATATGACATAGAGCTCATGTGATTGAATCATTAATACTTTCTGCTCTCAAATTTTGGTTTTCAATGATTAACCAGAACATGTGGTATAGTAATTTGGGCAATTGTCGTTACTAGCTATATTATTATCCAAGTTTAGATCCGCAATTTCTTTTGTTGAAATATATTTATATATGTTATTTTGTTGAAACTTATTTTGTTGAAATATTACATTTGTTAATCAGCAAGAATAAATGTTATGTGAAGATATATGCATTAAAATAAATGATATTTGTGATATTTTGGTGAAAGCTAGCTAAGCAACGGAGGTTGGTCCATGGCTTCGAGCTTGTAGCCATCTCTGGAGAATCAGGGTCAATTTAGAAGTTTCACATGGATGATGGATTCGTATTTTCTTAAAATCACACTTTAATATAGAATATTAGGGTTTTGTTAGGATATAAAATGATCGATATGATTTCATCCCATTGGCATTTATATGATTGGAAC